ATTTATCTCAAGTTCTTTGAATTCCATTTATCCTTTCATTTTAATAAACCCAAAACCTTCGGCCACGCTACAAGCTTACAAAGCCCCATTGATTTTGAATTATGCGAAGTGATCTTTTAGCGGAGATAGAAGAAGAATTTAGGCATATGAAGTCTTGATATTGAGCTTGTTCCATGCATATTGAGTTATTACATTTTGACTTGATAGTTGCAGGAAAATCATTCTCTGGTCTCACACACACACATTTCTAAATTGTTGGAAAGCATGATCTTAATTTGTGAATTGGGCATTCCTTTATATTTCACTACTATCCTCTTTAATATATATTTGGAGCAACTAGTGAGGATATTTTCATGTATGCTTAGTAGATGAATAATTGGTCAATCTAGTTGTTTTATTACTTGTTTTATTCGAGGACGAGTAAAAATCTAAGTTTGGGGGTGTGTTAATCTCTAGAAGTTTATGTTATTTCATCACATTTTCCTTAGATTCCAGTCCATTTGGTTTATTTGTTTTTGTTTTTATTGCCCAATTTAGGAAAATTTGCATTTTATTTTGAGCTTGTGTTCTTGGCTTTAATTTGATATTTTTAGCCTAATTTCATGTTATTTTAATTAGAAGCATTTTTGGAGTTTTGTGAATGTTTTTGGAAGGCTTTTGGATGAAGAAATCAAGAGTAAAATGAATGATTTTTGTTAGCTATAAAAATAGTGCAAAACTGCCAAAGTCGTGACTTTCGTTAGCAACTTTCATTGCTGTCAGAAAAATGCTGCGTTTCATTTATCATAAATTAGTTGGTTAAGACACATATAAGTTGAGAGCTCAACCTAAAATGCATTCTTCAGACTTTTGGCCCCTTTTGGAGCTTGGTTGTGCTAGGGTTTGGGCATTGGAAGAGTTGGGATTAAGAGATTGAAGCTTTGAAGACATTTGGAGCTCATTTTCTTCGGTTTTCTATTCCTCTTCCCTTTCCTCTCTTGTAATCTGAAATGAGTCCACTTATTTTGTATATTTGTAGCTTGTGGATGATTATGAGTAGCTAAACCCTTTGTTCTAGGATTATTTGAAACCCTTGTATGGATTAATACTATATTTCTCCTCTCTTTTTGTGATTAATGATATATGTGTTTATTTTACTCTTTCCTTAATCTTCTACTTGATTGGCCACCATTTAGATGTTAGGTTCACTTAATTGATGCTTGAGAGGGCTAGGTTGAGTGTAGAACTTGGGTAAAATTGTGTAAGAACTTGATATTTGTATGTTGAATGGATGGTTTTGCTAGTAAGATAGAGATATACTTGCTAGCCTTGCATAGCCACATTAGGGTTGGCGTTTAAAATTGAGTTTTATTAATTGTAACAAGAGATTGGGCAATTAATTTAACTAAACACTTGTTCGTGAATTGAGAGAGCTTGTCCAAGTATTTTTAGAACCCTAGGTTAGCACTTATTTTCATTAAAAGCATTTATGAGAGGAGGTAATTTTAGTGTTATGAAATGCAAGGGGGACAATTAATCCTAAATCCTAAATTGTGTTGGAAGTTTGTGAATCACTCACTTTTCTTTATTTTCTAGAGTTAATTTCATTTGCAAAATCATTTTCACCTAATTTTGTGTAGCTCAACTTGATCAAATTTACTTCATCTTTTGCTTAATCATTGTTTTTGAACAAATCCTCGAGGGAACGATACTTTACTTTCATTATATTACTTGCTACGATCTGTACACTTGTGGTGAGCAACACTTGTTATACTTACTTTGCATCCTTTCTGCCATGTCACTCAATAAAGAATTAGATTCAACTGCAGTTGAATCCAATCGTGTCTTGATTGCAACTATATTTTGAAAGCATGTGTTTGATGTGACATAATTTGATCCAGAAAATTGAAGAGTCATAGTATAAAACAACTCCCAAAAGATAAGAAATTCCTTTGCCACACTCCAATCATAAGCATTAGGAGGTTTAACTATACCTTCATCACTATCATGATCATCAAGCTCATCTTCATCCTCCTCTTCCATCCTATCAATAAAACTTGAGCTAGAAGACAGTTTAACTTTCTTTTTGAAGAAGTTCTTGTAATATTGATCCTCATCCTCCATTCTATCAAAGACCTCAGTGAACTTATTGGCATTCTACAACATGATATATGTTGAATTCCACCTATTACGACAAAAAAAGATTTAAATGTTAGGAAAAATTACATATCATAATGCAAACAATCATAATTTAATAATAATATAAATTATCTAGTGGGATAATCCATGGTAAGAAGACTCTTTAAATCAATTCTCAATTTTTCAATAAGCTCCTTGAATTTTTTAAGCCTACCAGGAGAAGATTTAACAAACTTGATTGCATGCCGAATAAGTTCAATAGATTGATTCATATCTTTAAGGCCTTCTGAAATGATTAAATTCAAAATATGAGCAACACACCGCATTTGCAAGAATTCTCCATCACAAACTAGACCTCCCAAATCCTTCAAATGCTTCTTTAAAAATACAATGGCAGAATCATTAGAAGAAGCATTATCAACTGTAATTGCAAATACTTTCTCAATACCCCCATAGAATAAGCATCCCTCAATTTCATTGCCAATGGTATCCCCTTCATGGTTTTCTACCACACAAAAATTCAAAATTCATTTCTGTAATGTCCATTCTTCATCAATCCAATGAGCTTTCAAACACATGTAGTTGGAATTTTGAATTGAAGTCCAACAATCTGTGGTGAGTGACACACGAACTTTAGATTTTTTAAAATACCTCTTCAAACGTCTTGCTTCTTCTAGATATATCTTGTAGCACAACTTAGCCATAGTGGTGCGAGAAGGGAATGTAAATCTTGGTTCAAGCACTTCTAACATTTTTTTAAAAACCTTGCCCTTCCACAACTCGAAATGGCATCTCATCCAAAATGATGAATTCAACAACTGCTTTTTTACATCGTTCTGCATCATACGGTTGATGAGTCATTGATTTACCAAAAGAAGCAGAGAATAAGGACTGTCCTACCTTGGCTTTGTTTGGATTCTTTGGGTAAGAATCAAAATGTCACCAAAGGTTCTTAGTCCCAGTTTTAAAAGAATGGCTTGCAAAATCCTTTCCATAATAGTTGCATTTAGCTCGATGCTCACCTTTTTTATTTATAAATTTTTCATAATGATTCCACATTTCAGATGTTGCACTTCTTTTTCATTTAGGAGGTGGAGCATCTTCAGCTTGGGAAGCCCTAAGTTCAGTAGGTGCTGTTAGGATGGTGGTGGTATTGGGAGCTTTAGATTCATGTGCCCCTTCCATAGCTTGCACATTTTCCATAGTAACTTTAAAAGTAAAAACTATACAGCAACCAAACCAAATCAATCACAAACACATTTGGTACTAGGTACATCACATTAACCAAAATATCAACAAAATTATAAGTTTTCAATACTGCGTGCGTGCATCTGCTAGGCTGCTAGCAGAGTAGAACCTACATAGAGCGTGTCCATAAATACAATATATTTGTTTCAATACAGTTACTGTGAGGCATTTCTATTTGTATAAAATAAGTTATACAACAATACATTCAAAATAGCCACAAACATCAGATCGCAGTAAGTGCTTCATGTCCTTAATCATGGCAGGACCATATCAGTTCATGCTAGAAAAGCCATGCAGCCAGACAAATCAACACATAAGTAAATGAGTAAAAAATTTATGATTCATAGAAGCAATGGTTTTTGAGCATTTAGACGGCATTAACTTGCTATTGATTGCATCAATTACCACATTCAAATATCAAGAATTTTAAATCCTTTTTCACGCCATATAAAGGAATCAAAATGAGGTCTTTCCATATTTATGAAAAGTCAAAACCATAGATAGAAAAGAAGGTTCAGCAAGTCTTTTTATTTTTCTATTCACTAAGGAAAAAAACAGCTATGGAGTTCAACTTCCTGTGAAATGAACCCATGGTGCATTTGCAAAGAAGAAGAAAAAGAAGAAGCAATTATCAACAGAGGAGCCTGGAGGTTGAACCTGGAGCTGGAGCGTGCTGCTGCGTCTACGTGCATGCGACTATTAGTAGAGTAAAGCTGTGGTTGATGCTGGAGGTGGAAGCCTAGGGCGTGCATCTGCTAGCTAAAGATGGAGGAAGGCAAACGACGTACGTCTGCTAGCTAGAGGCCTGGAACTGGAGGAAGGATGAGAATCTCGCACAAGCCGCGATGAAGATCAGGTGAACAGTGGAGAAATTGGCCAGGCGAACTTGTAAAGTGGTAGATGCCGGACAGAACGACAAAGCTAGGGCACTGGTGAAGGGCGCCGCCACTGATAACAGCTGAAGCAGTCTCAACTCTTATGGGCGAAGACAAAGATGATCTCACGGTGTCACACTGGTTACGGGTAGACAAATGACGAGGTGAGGGTTCTGAACTTTTGATTTCTGGAGCAATGGACTGGAGCTTATCAGCTTAGGAGGACTGGATTGATTTAAACGACTGGACGAGGTCACAAGGCGTGGATTCTGTTCTGACTCTAGATTTTGGAGCTTAGACTGGATCACTGGATGGTAGCACTAGCAGACCACACTGGACTAAAGTCTGCCAAAGAATATATATATATAATATATACGAGCGGGTATTGTAACATCCTGATTTTTTATATAATAAAGAAATTGTGGAATTTAGGTTTTGAGAAAAAAATGATAATAATAGGAATTTATATTATTTGAGGTTATTTAGAAATAATATTATAGTTAGGTATTTAATTATGAATTTAAAAATTTAAATTTAAAATCACATAAGCAATATTTAGTTAAGATATAATACATAAATAATTTTTTTTATGTATGTGTTGAAAAAAAAAAGAGAAGATAGAAGGAACAAAAAAAAAGGGGTGGAAGGTTGTTGTTTTTAAGTCCCACATTGGTTAGATGAGGGAAGAGAAGAGGTGCCTTCATGTATAAAAAGGAGGGGGTGTGTGCATTAGGAAGCATGAGAGACTAAGATGCAATTTAGAGAAAATTGCAACTTTTGGCCCAAAGGTTTGAATAATTAAATTCAAACCTATAGTTTTTTTTTAATATAATTTTGGGACTCACAATCCCATTTTTATATTATTTTTCTCTCTTCCTCTCACGTTGCTCGGCGTTTTCTCGCAAGGGGGGATTATTTTCTTTTTCTTCAGGTATGTTCTAACTTTCCTGTTTAGATTAGCATTTAAAAATTTATTTAATTACAAAATTAATTTTATAGTTATTTTCTAAATAATATTAGCTTTCTAGTGATATGATTATTTTGTAGGATAGAGTAAATATTTTAATTAGGATTTTTCTATAGGATAATTAATCTGATGATATAATGGATTAAAAATATAGGTTAAAACTCTTAGGGATATAATAAATATTATAGAATATTTTCTTGAGGTTGAAACTCATGTTTAAGAATTTTTGAGTTAAAATCTAGATTTATATGATTGAATTTATGTGGAATCTGAGATGTAGGGATAAACCTATGATTATTAAATATTTATTTAAGTATGAATAGGTATTTTTGAGGTTATAAAAAGGTGATTTGAGGCTTCAGGATAATTTTAAAATTTAATTTATTTTTGGACAAATTTTTAGAATATAGAAGGATGAAATTGTGATACTAGAAGTGATTTGAGGATAAAAAAAATAGTTTATTAGGGTATGAGAATTTTAGAAAAGAATTTGGGAAGTTAAATGAGGCATAAATCTTAAATTAGTATTAATATGGATTATAGATCTAAGACTTTCTAACTATTTAAATTAGAGTTATTTATTTTAATGTAAAATTAATATATAGTATTGTGAAATAATTATGTAGATTATATTGACAAAGATAGTGGTGAAAAAGGAGTTGTGAAGGGGAACTTGTTATTCAAGACACAAGGTAACCATTATTAATGTGTTGTGATGGGTGTGTTTGTGAATGATTATGTGTTGTTTTATTGTTTGGAAAAATTATAAATTATTGAAAATAAATACTGTTATATACTTCTGTGAAATCATTGCCAAGTGGGTTAAAAATTTATTTTTTGTTTATCATGATGAGATATTATTGTTCGGATATATTTCTGTTTGGATATTTGAATGATGCATGACTTGTCAGGGTATTTTAATGTATGGTGTTAATGGGAATTTCTGTTCGGTTAATTATTATCACGTGGTAAGCCCTCATTGGACCCAATGAGTGGCGTGTCGCTTGGTCCAACTCACCTTTGGCCGGGTGATTTGGCATCCGAGCATGGCGAAAGGAGGATATAAGGTGTAGTCATGCAAATTAAATACTTGTTCGGTTTGTTTGAAAGTATTGTTCGGTTAAATGTTTGTGTGCCCACTTAGCAATCGCATGATTAGTTACATCCGCATGCATCATTACATATTAATTTTTGATTACTGGGACTTTTAAGTCTCATTCCCCATGGTTAACATTTTTACAGGAGCGAGTTCGGCCAAGAAAGCACCAGAGGTGTAACTATGGTGTATGAGACACCATCTTTTACGTTGCCTCTTATTTTGGATTATACAATGTATCTTGTGCCAACTTAGGACATATCTTCTTTGTGAAGCATGTAAACTCTAATCCTTTTTATTAAAAGTATTTATATGACCAAGAGGATTATATCTGTCCCTCTTGATTCATGACCTGATTTAAATATCATGCCATGAGGATCCTATCTGTCCCTCATGGTTCTAATTGTTTTTTTTGAGATATTTTAAGACCTGTGGTATATTGTCTTGGATGTACCATGGTAGAAATTTTTCTACCATGATAAGGGTATGATAAGGGTTCAATGAAAAAAAAATGATTTATTGAATTAATGATTTGCGAAAAATCAGTTTGTAAATTTGAGGGTGTTACAGGTATGGGCCATCCGAGGGCTAACCCGTTACCCTCCCGTTTATACTTATACGAGTATTACCTGCCCGTACCCATTTTCCTTCCCTTACTAAACGGGTATGGGTTAACCCATTTATAAAACGGGTCAGGCGGGTTGACGGGTTTTCGGGTATATTGCACACCCCTACCACGGCGCATGGTGTTTAAGCCGTAATGCGTGGCACAAAGAGCAACACTCCGCGATGCAGCGTGCACGAGCCATGGTGCATTGTCTTATATCACAGTATATGTTTTGTTTTTCAACTGTCTTCAAATTCTTTTACTCCTTTAAGGTATTCCATGTTTTTGAAACTTGCTTTTACTCTAATATAAATGATTTGATTATTTTAAACTCATTGTTATTTAAAAAACTTGGGATCCCTTGAATTTAGACAAAATCTTGGTAATCATTTTTATGTATTAATATTTTGATTACCATGAGTTCTAATGTTAGATGTGTTTAGTAGAGTGAGATTTTACACAGGCTGCGTGGATGCCAACTATCTCACAAACATAGTTACTTAAACTAATCATATTGTGTCATCTAATCCCACAACATTCCTTTCAATTTAGTATTTATTGCATTTCATTCAAAACATGTGTTCAACCTAAAGTTGAAGTGCTAGCCCAAAACTAAGAAGAAGAGGTAAAACAAATAACATGACATTCCCAAGAAACATGGCTTAATCTATTTCTAGAAAAAGGGTGCGCCATGCATGAGCCCAGCGCAACTCTCAAGATTTAGGATAATTAAATGTGAGAGACCATTGAATGGATATGGTGTTACGTGTTATGAATCTCATGGGATTGTGTTGAGTAATCCCTAATATTTCTTGAACAAGCTTTAAATCTCATGGGAGTAACAGTCTTAATCAAATGTTTTTTAAAGGACTAGAGGACCATGGAAAAAAAAGGGTCATCATCAAGAATCAACAACACTTTATCATTTTTAAACAGAGCTAATTTACTTTTCAGATTTACTTTGTAGTCTTAGAATCACTTTCAACTCTAAGATGCAGTCAAAGCAATTGTGTACTTTTGTTTTTCACCATTAATCAAAATATAGATTTATTTTGATCTCTTTGCATCTTCACATTTAGGTAAACAGTGGTTAAGAAAGTCTAAAGACCTCATGGCTATTTTTGAGACTCATTATGGTATTTATTATTTCCTTAAGTAACAATATGAAAGATTTCATAATTACAATTACAATTGCATTCCCACCCTCACAAATACTTTGACCACCACCATGCCCAATCATTATTGATTAAAAAATGACAAAAAAATCATGACCTAGAAATTACCTCTATTACAATACACAAGTAAAAGAGTAAATTAGTCTCAAAATTATATATTCAAGCAGAAACCTTAAAATTTTTTAGTATAATATTTTTCTTCAACTTTTAAAAATAGTGTAATTTAACCCTTATCATTAACAAAAGGGTTAAGAATTATTTTTGCTCCTCTACTTTACTCAAAGAGCCACTAAAGATCTTAAACTTAACTATTAATTAATTATATTTTGTCAACATTTAAGATTCCTTCATTCATCACCTTGATATTAAAAATATTTAATATTCATAGGTCATTAATGGATCCCACTATTTTTTTAACACTTTTATTAGATTAAAAGTTATTTTTGCTCTTCAACTTTTATTCGAAAGGGTTAGTGAACACCTTCAACTCAAATATTTTATAATAAAAAAATTTTAAAAATGTAATGTGAGACTCATTAATAATGAGAAAACGATAAGGTAATAAGGGGCAATCTTTAAAATTGAGGAACAGAATTAACTTATAATTAAGTTTAGGATTTTCAGTGATTTTTTATGTAAAGTTAAAGGAAAAAATTGACCTTAAACCCTTAACAAAAATTAACTTTGACTACTAATTGACTAAAAATGATAGAAAATATTTTTAAATTACAAAAAAGGATTAATAATTTGTTCTTGATTCTTTTTTGTTATTTTTATATCATTGTAATTTTTGAGTATTTTTGTTCTTTTTTATAATTTTTGAGAGTTTTTTCTATTATTTTTTAATTAACTAATAGTTAAAATTAATTTTTATTAATGATAGAAGTTAAATTGTATTATTTTTAAAAATAAAAAAAATGTCACACAAGATAATGAGTTTAAAATTTTAAATGATCTTAAACTAATATTTAAAAGGCTAATTTATCATTTAACTTTGTAATATATAATTGTCAATTATATAAATATATATGTATGTGTGTAATTAGATAATGGATAAAAAAAGTGAGAGATTTGTGTGTCACTAGTCATTACAATGATCAATAGGCATCTGACGCGAGGACACAAATCTTTCCAGAAAGGAAATTAATAATTACATGGACAAAGCTTCGTCCCTTTGATGCATCCGGGGAAGGTTGCATCTCATGTTTTGGAAATACTTTGACCTAAACAAAGGAAAGGAAGATGCAAAAGCCTCAGAGTTACACGTAGCCACTGAATGTGCTCTGTATACATATAGATCTTCCAGATGCTCATCATTTATTTAAAAATCTTGACCCAAAACAAAGGTTGCTTCTTATAAAGTGCGTGTGTGTTTGGATACAGATCAATTTTTCAATTAATTATCCAAACACCAATTATTCAAAAAATTGATTTTTTTTCTCAAAAGATTGATTTTTTCCTAAAGCTATAAGATTCAGCTTCTATGTCTTTTGTTACAAAGTTATATGAAAAAATTATCAGAAAGGACTAAAAAAATTATAAAAAATACACAAAATTTAATAAAAATAAAACTAAACTTTCTTCTCTTTTTTTTTAATAAAATTTAAACTTTAAATTCTTAAAAAAGTTCTAGCATAAGTTCCTATCAACTACCATCCTCTACTTAGCATTTGTTATAAAATTAATTTAAATAAAATATTAATTGGTAGAGAAAAATTAATTTAATTTAATTTAAAATTGAGAGTCATACAAAGATTATTATAAAGGTTCAAAAATAGAGAGATTTTGCTTCATTTGTTACATTATTACATTTTTTTATGTTACTAAAATTTCTGAGCAGTGCTTAACATATTCATCAAATATGGCTTATATTTGTAATATCAGTAGATATTAATTTATACATCATCATCTTCATTAGTTATTGTAAAATTAATGTTTGGTATTTAAGAATTAAATCATTCTCTTTTATTAAATTTATTTGAACTAAGATATATTAAGTTATTTATTTATGTAAATTAAAATTGTTAATATTAATATAATTTAAATTTTTATCATTAATCAGATATATAATTTAAATAATATATTTTACTTTTTAAATTTTAGATACACATTTATCAATAATTTAATTTTAAAAAGTAATGTCTTTTATGATAATTTATACAGTTAAAATTGATTCTGAATAAATCATCTAAATATTTTCAATCCTATTAAAATTAATTTTAAAAAATAGTATTTAAATAAATTATATTATAATATAATTAATTATAATTAAAATTTATTATTTAATTAATTATTTTTATAATTTATTACACCTAATTAAAATTTAAACGGACACTGACACATTGCCTCTGAAGTAGTGCTAGCTAGTTCCGCAATTTGATGCCACATTTGACTAGAAATCGCGTTTGATGGGAAAACGCACCTGATACAGATAAATGGGTTTATAACGAATCATTCTTTCAAAATATTTTCAGTCGCTCATGATCTTGTGTTATACCATGCGTGTCATTGCGTGGTTCTAACAACGCTTTAGAATCAGAGGCCGCATAAAGGCCAGAAATTATAACAATACAGAATAATGATAATCATTTCAAATTTCATCATTAATTATTAGAGTGGAGAATATTAGAAAGGAAATTGGGAACGGTGGTGCTCATTGCTTAGAGGTCGCTAATTAATGGCTCCCTTTTTTTGCGTAAATTTATTATTCATTTTTGTATAACAAATCAAAAGGATTCACTAATGGTTCTTTGTAGCAATCATAACTTAAAACTCGCAAAGAAGTAAAATAGGTCGGAAAATTTAAAACGCATTGGTCAATGCTGCCAAAGAAAATATGGGTGGGTTTAGATCGGGTAGGGTTTTGCAATGAACCCAAGTGTACGTACCCACAAACCAACATCATAAGATTGAAATTTCCACAATGATTATAGATATATATAGCTAGGTAGGTGCACGTGCTTGCCTGTTAAAAGCTGTAATAAATAACAAGGTGACTTCAATGTAAGTAAGATATGAAAAGATGTGGTAACATGCTCATGAATCATGAGGACCGTGATTCAACTGGGTCGCAAAACGTAGAGAATCTTACACCCCTCCACGGTAATACCCGTGATCTAACAAACGCATGACTGTCAGATATCATTCAGATTTTTTATTTTATTTGAGCTTTCCCAATAAGCACGAGAGAGAGTGGGAGAGAGAGAGAGGGTTTTCTTTTTCTTTTTGTTTTGTTTTTTTTTCTGACTTGCAGAACCAGAAAATTCATTTCATGATCAAAAGACACAGATGCAGTGAAGATTCTCAGTGGTGAGGAGACGACTGGCAATCCAACAATAAAACAGCCTTGTGCCTTGTGGTTGTGGGTTTTACACAGCGCTCGTGATCAACTTGTAATGAAAGTCAAATCAATTTGTTAATTAATGATCGAGAATGAATATGAGATGCGCAATTTTGAACGCTTTCACATAGGCGTCAATGTGCTGGTGTATTATCAAACAGACAAAGATAACTGGGGAGGATTGCAATGGACAAGACACAAGGACCACTTGGCA